GATAGATAGATAGATAGATAGATAGATAGATAGATAGATAGATAGATCACACACAAACACAGACACATACACTCAGAAAACCAGTCTATTAATGGAAATTGATAGATTATTTGGGGCAGTTTTTTAAAGTATTAGTTCTGGCAGCACCAGCATATCAGTTTACAATAAAACTGGTTTATAATGATCCACACGTTGAAGACTGACTCCAGTCATGACAAGAAGGTTGTCTTATAGCGAAAGTAGACCATTGGCTAAAGTGACCCACTTGGGAGAGGTTTGCAGTGGCCACGTGTGGAGGTAAAACAGCTGCTTCTTCACTCTAACTTAACTCAATTCTTGTACTGGGATGTCCCAAGATAAACCTTAACATGAAATGAATAGCTTTTATTTCCATAGTTACGGTGTTCTGATTTAGTTACTGGTGATAGCAGCAGAATATTTAACTGTTGCTCTCCCTGTGGAGCTCCTGTCCCTTACAGGTCTTTCTATCTCCACCTTCTTTCATAAGATTCCCTGCACTCTGCCCAAAGTTTGGCTATGATTCATAGCATCTGCTTTGATACACTGCTGGGTAGAGTCTTTCAGAGGCCCTCTGTGATAGGCTCCTGTCCTGTTTCCTGTTTTCTCCCTCTTCCAATGTCCATCTGCCCATGGCAGCTCAGTATCTAAGAGGGTTGCCTAGTAGGAGGAACAGAGACTGTCTCTGACATGTACTCAGTGGCTGGCTCTTTGAACACCTCCCCCTGAGGGGGGAGCAGCCTTACAAGTCCACAGAGGAAGACAATGCAGCCAGTCCTGATGAGACCTGATAGGCTAGAGTCAAATGGAAGGGGAGGAGGACCTCCCCTATCAGTGGACTTGGAGAGGGGCATGGGAGGAGATGAGGGAGGGAGGGAGTGTGGGATTGGGAAGAAATGATGGAGGGAGCTACAGCTGGGATACAAAGTGAATAAATCATAATTAATATAAAAATAATAACTAAAATTAAAAAAGAATATTTAGCTATATCAAAACTTAACTTTCTTCCTTAGTTTAAGAAGAGTTCAGATTCAAAAATTGAAACACCAGAATATGGCCTTCCAGTTCTCTTGTTGCCAAAGACCAGGGAGTCAGTATTTTTATAGATGAAATATAATCTAAGTATAAATTATTAATATCTTTTATAATATATTTTATCATTTAAAAATGTAGTGAGTGAACAAGGTATATTGATTTGTAAATGAGCACTGAAGTGCCATATAAATTTGTGCTTTTCTGGATCAAGTTAAGATTCCATCTTAGGAGATTCATCATTATTCAACAAGTTACAATAAGAGAAGTAAAATGCAGAAGCTAAGCTGTTGATAGGAAAAAACAGATTTGAGGACTGTGTCTTCATCATTTTTCTGACACCAAGATATCAGGGTGTTGGTATGGGATATTGATTCACAAGTGGTTACCTGTGACCCTGCAGAGCTTATCAGGAGAGCCTGAAAAAACAGTTTGTCCTATCATCTACTTATCCTGGTAATTGCCTGGCTTTTTTTTTTGTTTGTTTTTGTTTTTTTGAAGTCTTTTGTAGTTCATTTTTTTCTTTTTAAATTTTTCTTTATTATTATTTATTATTTATTACAATTTATTCACTTTGTACTCTGAAGTGCCATATGTCTGAGTGACAGTTTGTTGTAATTATCTAAATTGAAACATATTAGGGCCTGAACAAAAGTGATGGGTGAATGGCTTCTCCACCAATACAGTAAGTCAAATTGAAGAAAATTAAAAGTATTGAAACAGGTTATTGGGGACAACTCTCGGGCAGGTTCATTAGATCCAAAGAATGAGGGCTGAGGAAGTTGGAGAACTGGCCTCGGGCAGTAGGTGAAGGGTGATGACTTGTCAGCCAGGAGCTGAGGTTTGCCCAAGTATGGTCAAGAGCTGAGCACTTAGGTGGGGATTTGGGTGGCTAGAGGCATGAGGGGAGGAGGTGTGACAGATGCCAGGAATGTAGAACTAGGCTCTTGGTCTCTTTCCTTTGTTAGGAGGCCTCCCAATGCGGTGGGGTTGGGGGAAAGAGATCAGACAGGGTTTCCCAGCGTGTGCAGGAACATGCAGCAGGGGTTCTAACCAACAATAGATAACAAGAGAACAAGTAGAAGATGGAACCCCTGGTGCTAAATGTGAATGGAGATTGAAATAAAATTGATAGCGGATCTTGTGGGTTGGGAAAGAGAAGAGAGTCAAGAATCTAACATATCTCAGAATACTAATTTGAGACCAGAGAAATCCTTTTCCTGAATTAGAGTATATAAAATATGAACAGAATGAGGCTTGGTGAAGATGATATGTGGGAATGATTTGAATTTGGCTTTGAAGATCTGCTGGAAACAGTGAGGATATTTAAAAACTGCCTTTGTGGGTAACTCACTGGAGAAGGCAGGGCCAGTGTCTTCATGTGTACTGCCGTTTGCTAAGCACCCTGCTGTCACCCCCTCATTGCCCAGGCTTAAACCTGTATGAAAACAGCTTCTATTAAACTCCAACTTTACTCCAAATATGCAATACATATTCTCATAATTATTGATGGGGCAATGTGGGAAGAATGAACAGAGATGACCGAGGGTATGGGTTGGCTTATAATGCTTGGACTGACTCTCCTCTTTCTCCTAGGTATATCACTGAGCATCTGAAGGAAAGCATTGTTCAAAGTCAGGCACCCTTAAAAGGAATTGCCTATCTGTAGTTTTAGGTGAGGAGGGCCATTATGTCATCAAAACAAAAACAAAACTAAAACTAGAAATGAAATGAAAATATGTTCCTAGTTCTCTCAAGGACCCATGTTGGCAAGATGCAAACTTGTATTTCCATTTCCTGTTTCCAATAACATGTGTCTTGAGTTATAGCTCGGAACCCGCTTGTATATGGTATAACTCAACCATAAGACCTTCGGTCAACTCAGTGATACCTTCATCTTCAGTCTAAATGGGGAAGTTGTATTGCTTTTGAAATATGGAAAATTTTGAAGACTTATTTAGAAATATGTTGAACTTGGTACCCAAATCATAGTCATGTAGCTTGCCTTTGTAATTACTACTTTATAGGCAAGACCTCCATGACTGTGGTGTTGGCTCTTGGAGGCCTAAATTAAAATCTTCACCAGCCAAAAAGTAAAACCCAGGCATGGCGATATGTATAGATAACCTTTTGCTGGTGAAATAGACGGGTGGGTCTTGGGGACTCAATGACCAGTCTGCCTAGCCAAAATGGTCAGTTCCAGATTTGGTGAGAAACCCTATGACAAAAATTAATGTGGAGAGCAGTAGAGGAAGATAGGCAAATTTGGTCTTTGACCACACATACACAAGCATGTACTATCTGCCAGACACAAACAGTTTGAGCCCTTCAGGACTTTAACATTGTCACTGTTAGTTCTGATCAGTCCAGAGTTGGCTGTTTGGGTAAAATACAGCTCTTCCTGTCCCCGTCAAAGGCGTGGGGAAGGGGGTTGGGTATCCTTCCAGTTAGAAATGAACAGAAGCTTGTGTGCTTGTGATAGAGAAGATCCTCTGTGTCATCATGGTCTCTATGTCACTATGGTGTCTATGTAATCACTGTCTCTGTGTCATCACAATCTCTACTTCATCATGATGGGAGCCTTTTATTTGCTTCTCTCTAGTTGGAGAATCTTTCTTTTTCTTTTTTTTTCCATATGTAGTCCATCCAAACCAGTTTTCTGTGTGACTCTGTTTATAAAATTGCAATTGATAATGATATGAATTCAAAATTAACCTCCACTATTCAATCATTTGCCCAAACTCAGATCTAAACAAAAACAAAAAGCCGACAACACCAACAACAGCAGAAACATACCCTGACCAACCCTTAAGACTGTGCACACTGTCCTGCTTAGAGGTTTGCTACAGGCAGTTATGGGGGAGGAGGATGCTTACATGGCATCATTCAGCTTTCCATATCTTGTATTGAGTCCATAGGCCCTTAGGCTTCTCTTCTCACATTACAAGCTATTCATTCAGCAGTGGCTCTGTGTCAAAGTAATTTTTGTAATTACTTCCTACCAGTGGGAAACAAGGACTCGTAAGCCTTTATCTCCTAGCTGCCTTTCAGAGTTTTTCATTTTCCTACAGGAACCCAAGTGCTTGGTTCGCTGATGTGGTTGTCATGGTGCCCTGAAGAAGTGTCTTTGTCGCAGGTGGGAAACATGGAGTAGTCAGAAATGATTTAGGAGTTGCTCCTGGTTACTGGGGAGTGAAACTATACAGCAAGCAGGAGCAATGGGAAGATGCTAGGAACTGGGTAGATACAATCTTCCTTGGATTTAGACATATGAATAGGTGCCCCAACCCTTTGCTTTGGTAGATTCTCATGACCTGTGTGTACATGGATCAAAGAGAATCCTTGATAGGCTTTGTAAAAGGATAATATGAAATGATATCAATTAATGTTGGCAGATATTTTTATTAGAAAATGATGCATAAAGGATATTACTATGATGAAGATATGCCATTGAACAAACATTCCTTTAAGTAGTGTTAGATTATAAATTTTCCCAG